AAACTTCCCTGTTCGTGTAGGGTAAAGCAAGATGTATTTCTTTTTGTTTAAATGTGAAATCTGCTGCATCAGGAATGYGTGTGACCACTGGAGGAAAAGTCTTTGAGCTTCCTCAGTTTTTGGTGTGATTTTATAAACAAGCTGGAAGGCAGCAGTTCCCTGTGGTGGGTAAATACGTGCAGCACATCATCACACCACTGTGTGGCTGCTGGGCTTAAAAGATACTCATTAAACAACCCTCTAAATCACACATTTCTGCACCAATCTTCATTTTTTTTTAAAGTTCCCCCAGACCAAAACTCTCCCACGTACTAAGACTCACAGTACCAGGTACTTCCATTAGAGCTGGTGGTGTGGGAGTCAAGCGAGGTGTTGCAGATTCCTGTAAGTAGTGGAAAAGCAACCCAAAAAGCCACCTTATCTACCTTCAGCGTTTTCCTGCTCACCTCCTTTGATGCAGAAGGAATTTTTGGCAAAGTTTGGCAGCTCATTGTGGTATCCAGCATTATCTTGCTTTCCTTGCTCTTCTTGCCCACCCACCTCTGCTTTTCCTCAGCTCACATCCAGCGTGTTCAGAGCCAGGACTGGCTTTGGCAGGTGTTTGCGCAGTGCCTTGCACAACAGCAGCTCCCAGGGCCTGATGTTAATGACTTCAGGTCTTGCTCTTTGCACTACAGAGMCCTTTCATCTGCTTCACTCTCTTAGTAAGGGTAGGCTGGGTACCCAGCTGTGAAGCTGCACAAAGAAAAAAATCTTGGGTTAAATTAGATGTKGCAGGTGTCAGCCACGTGGCAAAGCAGAAGCCAATTCACCTGTGCCACGAGGGTTTGCTAAAGTGACAGTGATGACCAGTGCAAACGATGGCTCAGGTGCCCTGACGACACAGTGGTTTCTGGCAACAAACTCACCAAATGGAAGAAAAACACAAATTCAAGTATTCTATTTCCAGAACCAAAGTGTAAGACATTGCTCTCTGCAATTTCTCATGTAAACTCATCCTTGTGGCTGTTCAAGTAACAGGATACCGAACATTACTCAAACTACGATTCAAGTAAAGCATATATTCATTTATAAACTGTCCACAGTGAGTTCTCATGCCCCATGATTCATAAGAGAAAATATCTTACCCCTCATACTGAAAAGAAATTTGAGCATGCAGGACTGCCAGGTAAGGTCTGATGGCCGGGAGGGAACTGGGGGTGTGGGAGATGCAGCTCTGCAGGAGGGAGTTGTGGTTATGCCGTACTAAAAAGCATAGGGTGGTTTTCTAATTGCAAGTTAAGGAGTTTACACCACAAAAGATATTTCTACACCGTGTTTAGTATTCTCTGCTTAAGGGTRTTTTGTGTTTTGTGAATGGAAGAGAAAAATTCATCACAAAAAGAACTGGAGGATTAAAAATCTGATAAAGGCACTGCAGTGAACATTTAGAAGCTCACACACACACACACACCCCCGTGCCCTCCTCCTCCCTGCCTTAGAGCTGGCTTAGTCACGTCCCAGTTCCTCAGATGTGAAAGAGGCAAGTGAAGCATCAGCATCGCTGCTC